TCAAATTAAAGAGAACATCATGACCTACAAGTTTGTAGAAGAAAGCAAATTCAAAAGAACCATAGTTTGAGAGCTATGGAGAGCTAAATTTAATAAAATGGATGTTTTGTCATTCCAACACTTAGAAAATTTTCTAAGTATGGAAATTCAGTTTGAAGTACATGTTTTCAAGCCTATCTTACATGGTGATGCAAGCTTCAAATTACTTTTCCTTGAACATGAAAGTTGTAGGGTATTCTCTCAGTTTTTTTTTTAGTATTAGAAATCCTTCATTGGATGTAGAGCTCAAGTTATGATCTCTCCAAGTTAGGGTTTCAAAGTTGTCAAAGTGGATAAGTTTTAGGCAGATTTTTGAGGCAACTTTCCAAGGCTTTTTCCTCCAAGTTCTTGACCTCAAATCAATTTCATTTGAACATAAAAATTTAAGATTACTCTTCAAGCTTTCTATCAATTACTAGAACTTTTTTATTGGATCAAGAAATCTCAAGTTGTGATGCTTCAAAGATAAGACATTATGAGGTTCATTTTGGTAACTTAGTGAAATTTCACTAGGTGTTTTTAGGTAGTTTTTGGGACACCTCTTCAAGGCCAATTTTCAAAACTTTCCAAGCCTCATTTCAATTTATTTTCAACATGAGAAATGTTCCTTGATTTTCATACTTTCCTTTGATATAAAGAACTCACCAAATGGATCAAATTTCACCAAGATGCAATGTTTCAAAGATGGCTATTTGAATTTGGTTTTTGTGCATCTTTTTCATGAAAACTCAAACATGACATGCAGCCATCCATTGTCTTTATTTTTACACACATGACTAACTCTTTTTGTGTCACAAACCATACCACAAATGTACCAACCACCCTTGTGCCATTTTTATACTTTACATACAATTTTTTGCAAAAAAAGGAAAATGCCAAAAGAATGAAAATTGTTCACCAAGTTATTGCTCCACATTCCTTCCCCATTAGGATCCTCATTCCACTAAAAAAGGACAACAACAAATCACCCAAAAGCCATGTCATGCGTATCATGCTCTCAATCCACTCAAAATTTCAAATTTCACAAGCTGCTAACCATGTCATTTTTACCGCACTAACTTGTTCCTAACCACTCTAAAACCCCATATATAAACCAAAAACAAACCCTAGATGAAAGAGAGTTCATTTTCTGTAGCCATACATCACTCAAATACTCTTTCATTTTCAATATCTCTCTTTATGAATCTGAATTTTTAGGGCTTGTTTCTGTGCTCTTTGGTTCCTGTCCTCTTCTCTAAAGCTCGAGCAAGAAGAAGGAGCAAGTTAGTGAGGTGTTGAAGCACAAAGCAGAGATTATGAAGCTTCATTTTTGGTAATTTTTCTTCAACCTGTTTCTCTAATTTTACACGTCCATTTGCTTTCCGGTTTGCATATTTGCTCTTTTGGGTGGATGTAGACCATGCTTGTGTTAGTGTTGTGCTTGTTTAATGATGTTTCAGTTTATGCATTTTTCATTCGTGCTTAGTTTTCTTGGTGTTAGGGTGGTTAAAAATGGAAAATAAGGCCATAGTCGTGTTCAGCTTGAAACTCCAAGTGGAATGGTATAAGGTTGTTTGAGTTTTGGTGGATTTTTGAACCAGCTCCGGTGGAGCACATCGGAGAAGACAACCGGAGCCCTAGCTCCTGTGTTTGGTTATGAAAGGTTGAGTTGGCACGCTGACTCCCTTGACTTGCTGGTGTGGCTCTCACGTGGCCCTTGCGTGGCTGATGACTGGTTTTAATGAAACAGTGCGTTTCATTTTATTTTGTTTAAGTTTCTAAAATGACATGGTCCTAGTGTTTCTACTTTCCACACACTCAGTTTTTTGGCCCAAATGCACTGCTAACTGTTTCCCTTTGTAATTGGATTTGCTTGATGCACCCCACACCACTTTATTTCTCCTTTTATTTTATTTTTCTTTTACTTTACATTATGACTTTTTTAAAATAGTTCTAAATATCATAAAATTCCCCAAAAATATTTGTTACATGTTTTGAGGTGTTATTTAATATTCTATATTTTTTGTTTTAATTTTCAATTAATTTTGATATTTTATTTTGATTTATTTGTATGATGTGTTCTTTGACCTAGTCTTTGAAATAATGCCTTGATGTTTGACCTTTTGCCATGCCCTCTTAACCCTATTTATTTACCATGATTTGGGATATGTTTGATGAATGTTTGGGTGCTATCTTCATGCCTTGGTGATCACTTTTTGGTTAATTTTTATTTGATTTTGTTTGGCCCTCGAAGTATGCTCGACTAGTTGAATACTCGATTTTGTTTGATCCATTTGATGATGTTTCCTTGAAATTCTTATTGTGATACTTTGAAATTTGATTCTTGATACACATGACTTGAGTTTGAATTCTTATTTGGAATTTATTTGGTCTTGTTTCTATTTTTGGATGGTGCATCAAGTTGTTGTTGATTTGACTATGTTTGTGTGCATGCCTTGACCTAGTCTTTTGATTTTGTTTCTTGAATTATTAAATGGATGTTAGATGGTCCCTATTTGTTTTGCTCAACATGGTTAAGGTTATGGTTTCCATGTTTGAAAGGTCCATTGCATGCTTACCTTGTCTCATTTGTCTTACATGATCATGTACTTCTCCTATGAATGATTTGATGGACATTTGCCTAACCTTTGTGTTTCAACTTGAGTTTGTCTCTTCTTGACTTTGATTGTTGATTTGAATGTGAACATGATGCATATCATTTGAGTTTGTTTCTAACCTTTATGGATTGATACTTGATCATGTATGTTCTTGCGCGAGTGCCTCCTATCTTTGAGAATGACTTTGGTGTATGAACTTGTTCTTGATGCATGTTTTGAGTTCAAACCTTGATGTTTTCTTTGTGTGTTCATGATTGAATCTTTCACTTGATATTCATGTTGATGTTGCTTCCTGCACTTGGTTCCATGCCCTAATCTCATGTATTTTCCTTTAGGATTATGTTTTGTATGCTTGTTTTGTGCGACATTTGTTTTGTTTGTGAATGAGATGCATGACTTAGCTCTTTGTGTTTTCTTCCTTGATCATTGACATAAATTGGATATGGTGTGATATAGCTACTGTACCCTTCCTAAAATTTAAACTCGAAATGATTCTTCACATCTGCTTTGACACCTTCCATATGATCCACCAAACCATTAGCTGTCTTGATACCCAATAAACTATTTCTCCAAAACCTTTCTTCATAACTATATGGAAGAACTCATAATTAGAATCCCAATATACAATTCACTTATGCATCGCTTTTTACTTAAGCATGCTCTCCTTTGCCCAAGCTGTTATCCAAACCTAATTAGAAGTTGCCTCCCTTTTCTGCCCCAACTCAGAAAAAATCTGAACCAATTCATTACCTACCACAAATTCTAAAACATTCAATTCCTGTACCGTCGACTCAAACTCCAAATCCAAAAAATTAAAAACCTTTTTGTTCCTTCTTTTTTATTGGAGCTTCAGAAGCTTTAGTTTTTGAGGAACCACATAAATTGCCTTCTCCACCAAATCAAATGAATTCCACTGATTTTTCACAAAGAGAAAAAAATCAGCATGTTTGATCCAACAACTAAAATTTTTTGAAAGGTTTAGGTCCCCAATTGATGGTCTTTTCCTTGAACCAAATCAAACAATGATCGGAGAAATCTCTACTACCAACAATTTGACCCGAAACCTCCCACTTGTCACTCAATCCCTCATTCAAAAGGAACTTATCTAACCGACTCATAACCTTCCCACTCAAACTAAACCAAATAAATTTACTACCAATCACTAACCCATCACTTAATTCCACAACCTCAATAAAGATGCGAAATTCCAACATTTCATTCCTATCAAACTACTTATTTTATTATGTTTATTATTATTTTAAATATTTTTCAATCAAAAGAATTAAATCCCTTGACCTCCTGGTGAAAAACAAACAATACTTAACCAATAGATTGAAATGACAACCACTTACATCTATTTACATAATATATATATATATATATATATATATATATATATATATATATATATATATATATATATATATATATATATATATATATATATATATATATATATATATATATATATATATATAATTTATTTTGAATTTTTAATAAATTTATATATGATTATAACAAATTTTAATTATAATATTTTAATTAATAGTAACGACTCTCCCATACATTTTAGGCAAAGATCTGCCCGGATCCGCCACTGGTCACCATAATACAATCACAAATTCTATTAAATATAATTCTCTCTCAATCCATCTTTTTTCATCTCTTTATTAAAGTGTATGGTACCAATAAATCCATTAATGAACACCTTATTGAATGAATCTAGTAGTGAAAAAGGAAAGTAATTAGATAAAAAAATACCACTGACATAGGTGAGAGGGATGAAAAGAGAAGAGTGGTGCCATCTATTTTATAGGAATGTGAGATGGTGAATGATAATGAAGTACAAATAAAGTGATTCGGTTCACTTTGCTTTGCTAGCAGATGAAGAACCAATAAATCAACATGATGCACTAAAGAAAGTTGCTATGAAAAATGATTCGCTTTGCTAGCAGATTTAGTTGGTTGACTTGTTATTCAAGAACTAATCTAGCATTGTAAGTATAAATACTTGTAGGGTTTCAATATTTTTCAAGTTAATTAAAAGTAAAAAATAAATAAAGTCACTAGTTTTGAGTTTTCAAGTGATGGAAAGCAGTTGAAAAATAAAATCAATTCAATCTTAAATAAAATTTATGGTCATAGTTACTGCAAAAGTTTCTACAACCATTTTCGGAAGGACTAAAAAAACACAAAAGAACCTACTCTCTTTTATTGATTATGTTACACAATCATAAAGAGAAATAAATAAAGCAAAGTTACAATAAAAGAAGCAATGAGCTAGAGATCATGTCATATCATGTGATATCCAAAGCATATACTTGTGCTTGGTTTTATTAATTAGGTCATTACTTAGTTATGTCTTCATATGGTTTCATCCAATGCTAAGATGGTGCTAAGGTTCATTGGATTCATGTAAGCCTTAGAGCCAGACATGATATCATTCACAATAAGCTTGTTTGCCTTTTCAGATGGATGGAATGCATCCCAAAATGCATACTCTTCTCTATTGGAACACAAGTTTGAGAGTGCTGTGCATAGACCTATTCCATTGTTTGGTCCTTGTCCACAACATGCTATTTTTGATGTTCTGAAACCATATTGTCCCGGGTTGTTTACGAAATTCAGGTGAGTTTTTCCTGTGTTAGCAGCGATGAAAACATCTCTACCAAGTTTCTTGTTGAGTGCTAGTAACATGCTTTCAAGTTGAGGATTGAACAATGATGAAGCTCTTTGAATTTCGGTTGAACATTCTCCATTTCTTCCACGTTGTGCTATTTCGGATGGAACACATCCCATTGGTCCTGTTCCTGTCACAAGCACTCTTCTAGCTCCCAAATCATACAGTTTCTGTAACAACAAACCATATTCAACTTACATGCACCAAGACACACAGACACGAGACACGAGATGTTGACATCAGTAATAGTTTTAAGAGAATGTTACCTGCAAAAGTTTTTTGTACTCAGAAATGAGAAACTTGACATATTGAGGTAATGGATATTGCTGAGACCTTGCGGAATAAGGAACCAAGTAGTAATTATTTACAAAATCATTACCACCAACAGTGATTAGAACAAGCGCTTGATTCACACGAGTTTTCGCTTGTGATGCTCCAATAAGTGCACTTAATCTATTTTGATACTCTTCAAAATACTGATATTGTCTATACATTCTTATAATGTTAACAAATTGAATTCCAGTGTCATTGAGTATCCCAATTCCAGCAGAAGCAAAGTTAGCTCCAACCAGAAGCTTTTCTCCTCTTAATTCAGGACTTAAATATGGCAATGTTGCTTCTGCACCAAGTCTCTGACCTGAAACATTTATTCAATTATAGTTAGATACATGAGAAAATGAATGAAGGTTAATTATATATAAATATATATATGAACTTAACTGATAAGATCAGGAATGTTGTAACCATTGGAGAATCTACCAGTTGGTCTGTGAGTTGGATAATCGATTCCATACGGCGGAGCATCGGCACGAGCAGTTGTAGCCAAGTAATTGTTATTTCCATTATCAACAAGTGAATCTCCAAACACTAAGAAGGTTCTTGGAATTGCTTCAACAAATAATATTCCTCCAAAAACCAAAACAACAACAAAACTTATTGACAGAGAAGAATGTGCCATTTCAAAACACTACTATAGTTGCTGTTTAGATGGTTTTTGGATGTGGAAAATTACATATGGTTTATGTGTTTATATAATGATGAATTGTTTCATAGTTTCATTGTGATTCCTACTAACATAGGAGGCTCTTTAATAGAAGAAGGTTTATTTGTTAATGGTGGTAATGTTAGAAAGATTAAATGTGATTGGTTGGATTCAATAAATAAGCTTCAACTACAATGGTAGATCATTATGTTTTCCATGCTACTTATTATATGCAGCTTATAATTATAAGTCTTGATCAAATAATTCGACCAAATCATAAATGAAAGGCATGCAAAAGCACTTTTTTCTTCTTTTCTGGTATTCTATTTTGACACTTGTTTTTGAAACTTGATGATAAATTGATTACATTGTTAGGATAATATATGTGCATATAATGAATTACATAAAGAATGGTCCTCTAGCTGAGTATAAATTGTGTTAGGCAAATGTGAGAATGATAATGGTTTTGTAGGATACTGATACTAGTAATGAAGGGTGTCTAAAAACGTGACACTCATAAATATAAAATATAATAGTTTTATTTTTTAATAAAAGATATATAAAAGGTGGTGATTTAGGGTCAAGTGTTTAATGTGATTTTATGGTGTAGACTTGTAGGTGCTATTAATGTCTTATTTCTATTGACCAATGCTCCATTTCTTTTTAGAGGTGAGAGGACCTATTTGTTTGGTAGAAGGTAAAGAGAACATATAATCTTTATAATTTAATTACATTTTTTTTACATTACTCTTATTTTTAATTCAAAGTTAAATTACATCTCTTTGCTAAAGTGAGACCACTCTCTCCCTGCATATTTATACACAATAAAGGACAATTTAAGATTTGTAAATATTTATTATTACAAATAACACATACGTTAGTAATAAAATACATTTAATCTAAGTTACATGTCCGAGATAATAAATAGTAATATGAAAAGCAATCCCTTGTCATATTACTAGAAATACAGGAACTACCTGCGAATTTGCTTGTGAAAATTTATCCGCAGATATATCTGCGGTTTTACCAGCGAATTTAGATTGTGAAGCAGCCGTCCGCATAAATTCCTGAGACTTTACCTGCGATTTTGGATTTATAATAATATATCCTGCGATATTTCCTACGGTATTTTTCTGCGAATTTACCTGCTAAGTTAATTACCCACGAAGGTTTTAGCTAGGAACAGAAAGTAGTAGGAAGAATTGCAGGTAACACCTTTTCTGCAGAAATTTTGTCAAAATCCGCAGGTAAATCCGCATAAAAGCAGAGTTTTTCTAATAGTGTCACTTCAGTATTTTTAAAACCGGAGTTAAAAGTTAAAAGGGGTGGGTTTGATCCCCATCAAGTACATATTTTTGTATTTATTTACATTATTTTAAATCGTAGTTTCACTTGTCTGTATCTTTTTTTACACATAAACTATAAAATATGCGATATAATTGGAATATATCATATCATTTAAATCAATATTATAAATTTACATGGTTCTGATAATTAAGACATAATACACACATTTACATATTTGCACAAAACAAATTAAGAAAATTTACACATTAAAACAAAAAAAAACTATTGTTTTAGAGAATCATAACAAAATAAAAAGACTCTGATCTAACGTGATCGGATGTCATTCGTATCTTCTTTTGAGTATGGTGTTTTGTTGTTAAACTTCTATAATTATAATAAAAATTAAATTATGCTAAGTTAACAACAATATGAACTTAAGAAGATATGGATTAAGTTAATATTTTATGCTTCATCCATCCATTTGTAATACATGTGGAGACAATATAGAGCATATATCTCATAATATAGTATCTACATGAATGGTTGTCGGGTTGTTTTCGCAAATACAAGTAATTTTCATATATTTATATCACACTAATACACACAAATAATATAATGTCAAAAAGCATAAGTAATATACTTACTTTTGGGGAAACAGAGAATGATTTTTTACCAAGTACATTATGTTTGAGTGTATTATACTCTTTCATCGCTTTACACATGTTGGTTAAAATTAAACATAAATAAAAACTATATAACTCTAAAAGTTAAATATAATACCACTTACCCATTCAAAGCGTGAACCGGTTCTTTAGGAAGTTCAGAGTGCAACGAGCAAAACACAACTATAGTATTTTTCTTGGGATATATAACAATTAGTTGTCAATGTTTACTGCATAAACATTCAGAATAATTAATATGTATACAATTGATTTATAAATGAAAACACAAATTAATATATACTTACTTGCGGTAAAACGGGGCCAAATAACAATCTTTGAAGTTCCCTTTCAACTTATCTTTTAAGTAAATAAGGATATTGTTTTTTGTCGAACCGCGAGTAAAACCAATGTGCGTCAGATCTAAGGTGCAATACTTATTTTAAAGTTTTCTTTCAACACATAACTCATGGATGAACCTGCAAGAGCAAATCTTTATGTTTAAGTATAAGAACATATGAATATAAATAGAGATCGACATAAAAACTATACTTACGAGGACCGAGTTTGTAATATGGAATTGTCTAGGTACACATTTTCTAAAAAAAATTCATGGACAGAAATCCTAGAAAGTGCGAATAACTGATCTGGATCATGACTTAATGTAATACTTAAGCATGGGTCTAGAATACTGTTAATGATCATTCCTATTCTCTTAATGTTATCTACTTTTGACGGCGTGGGTTCAATACTTTCTTGGTTGGCAAAAAAACTTTCTTTAGCGTTTGTACCACCCATAACTTTTTAAACTTCATCCTCTTGAATTTCCAACTAATTTGAATTTGGGTAGCTTAACAGACCCAACTAATTTAATTTCTGCATCATAAAAACAACATAAATACAATTCAAAATTAAAATACGCAAACAATAATAACAATAACGTACAACTTATACCTCAAGCACATCACGAGTACACTTCTCAGACACATTCTCCTCAATCACCCTCTATCACTTCTCTTCCTGCTTTTGGACACTCTTCTGCACTGTCTGCAACAACCTCTTTCTCTCCTCCTCCAACTTCCTATTATGCTCTTCCCTCCACCTCTTCTTCTCCTCCTCAAACTTCTTCTTATCCTCCTCCAACTTCCTATCGTGATCCTCCCTCCACCTCTTCTTCTCCTCCTCAAACTTTATCCCATCCTCCTCCAACTTCCTATTCTTCTTCTCCCTTTCCTCCTCCAACTTAACAACAATAATCTCTTTAGTCTATCTCTTACATGTTTTCTCACTAGATAATTTAGATGGTTCAAAAAATTCCTTAAAGCCAACGCCTCTTCCAAGACCACGGACACACCCATGATGCTCCTTGGTTCCAATCGCTTCTACCAAAATGTCATGACGATCTTGTGAAGTGAAGAGGCCAGCTTCGGTTTGTTCAACAAGATCATCCTATAACACATATGAAATTTCATATTTAACAAATTGATTTAACTAAAATAAATATTGTTGAAAAAAGTATCTACTTACAATCCTTTGAGCCACTTCTTGCGTAGCATCTGATGTGAACTCGTCGTCTTTTCTTTGACATGCCTTCTATTTTTCGGGTGTGATGGTGGAGATGGAGTGTAGTCAAGACTTATAGAACCTCTAAACTCTTCCTCCATTTGTTTTCTTTTTTCTTCGATCATCTTCTTTTCAAATTTTTCGATATCCTCCACGAGATAATCTATGTGGATAGATATTTCTACCTCGATTTCCTTTCCTTTTTGCCTCTTTGCCAAGAAGGTGGGAGTGGTACGAGACTCTACAGATTTCTCCCAAACATCTTGATCAATAAACTAATACACATCGTATGGTGCCTTTCTTTATCTTCTCTATGTTTAATATAATCATGGGTGAGTTGTGTCTTAAAGCCCCACCAATGCTCACCATATTATGTAAGCATCTTCTTTTTCACATTATTATCATTTGGACTAACAATGAACACTTCCTATGTTTATACAATAGAGATGTTATTCGTATTAAACAAAAAATAAATGATCATATATACTCGCAAACAAATCATAAAATACCTGAACATCTTCCCATATGGAGTCTTTTAATTCCTCTTCAACATTGTTCCAACTATCTATCAAAAATGCTCACTTACTTCAACTCTGTAACGCAATATAATCCATAAAATTGTCAGTGTGTTCACCATAAGCCTTGTCGGTTGCAACATCAACTGTAACTGGGTAGCGAACACCAGTTTAATGAGGTTTTATCACCTTGGTATACATCTTGTCGCCTCTAGTTTTTATTCTATGATTTGTATTAATACATGTGCATCAAATTTTGTATGAGAGGTGCTTGTCGAATCGGTCATGACTATCAAGAGACAAATACGTAGAAACGAAATGATCAAGAGACAAACATTGAAAAATAGAATGATATAAACTTATTTTGGTGATATACAAATTGTTTCAGTGATATATAAATCTTTTTAGTGAAGAACAAACTTGTTGAAAAATGACATCTATTGATGAAATGAATTTCTAAATAAACCTTAAAATGATCAAGAGAAACTATACTAACTAAATAAACTTGTGTGTGTGTGTGCGCGTGTGTGTATGCATGCGCGCGCACGCATGTATGTGTGCGCGCGCATGTGTGTGTGTGTATGTGTGTGTGTGTGTGTGTGTGTGTGTGTGTGTGTGTGTGTGTGTGTGTGTGTGTGTGTGTGTGAGAGAGAGAGAGAGAGAGAGAGAGAGAGAGAGAGAGAGAGAGAGAGAGAGAGAGAGAGAGAGAGAGAGAGTACATCAAGATATATAATGGTTCAACTCTATCATCCTCGGAGGACCCTACTCCATTCTTCAATGATTTCCCATTAGAATGTGTTTTCTTTCACTATGTTTTGACAAATATTAAAAGAGTTTATACAATTATTAGTCCATAATAATGATGAGAACAATAAATCTCATATTTGGATCTTGACTTGTATACAACTTAATGACAAAATCTTTTGCAAAATCTTTACTCGATTCTCGCTTC